TAAAAAAGATGGGTAGTAAATGGTGTGTAGCAATTAACAATATACAACAATTAACAATAATAATTTGTTATATTATGTACAGTAGAGCGTCGATTATCCGAACATCGATCAACCGAACGACCGCTTATCCGAACTCCCGACTCTCCCGCGCCCCGCGCTCGTGCGCGCACTTGTTTCGACTTCAACAATATTCAATTTCTACAATATTAATTCTGATGACTAATAAAACTGACACCACTTTATCTACTGCAAGTTCAGATAATGAAGACGAAAACATAATTGGTGCTTCAGAAGCGTTTACTTGCTTAGATATTGCCTTGCGTTGGTTTGAAACACAAGTCGAGAACGACCGATATCAAATATATGTCCTTAAAAAATACCTGACCTAGCCGCACGGCTTGCTTCGGCAGACGAAAATTGAAGATTTTTCAAGCGTTAGTAAATTACACTTAATACTCTTCGATTTTCACTAACATTGTACTTAGAATGTTTTGTTGCAAATACTTCAGTTTATTTGTTTTCTAATTCCTATTTTTCAATAAAGATATTATTATGAAGGTACATATGTAAATATGGCTTTTATTTACCCGTCGATAAATAAATATGTATGGCTATATCAATACAGTTCGATTATCCGAAAAAACCGGTTTTCCGAACACCCCTGTCCCCCAATTAGTTCGGATAATCGACGCTCTACTGTACTTACCTATATCAAATGTAAAAAATTTATTATTTTTATTGATAGAGTCATGAAGTTTGCGGGATAGTAATAGCGTTTTATCACTTTAATTAACAACATTCACATTGCTTATCAACTGTGTTATTTAGTAATAGAATGCATAGATTTTTTTGAATATAAAAAAACAGCAGTCTTTAGATTAATGGCAAAATAAAAACCATTAACTCGATTTCAATTACGGGAAGTGCTTTTAAAGATGTTTTTGGTTTTAAGTTGTCAAGTAACATGGTATAATTAAAAGACCGTAGAGTTTTGTTCTTCTACAGTAAATACTAATCCTACAAATCGAAGACATTATACCGCTTTATACTTATGAATTAGGCAAGCATTTATACAAAGAGTATCCTTCTGATATTTGTTTGCTGAATCAGTACGAACTTACGAGTTATCAATTCATTGAGATAAGTATTAAATAGTAGAATAAGTATTCTACTATTTAAATATTTTAGTCATTGTCCAATTTTATTCAATGAATTGATAACTCGTAAGTTCGTACTGATTCAGCAAACAAAAATCAGAAGGATACTCTTTGTATAAATGCTTGCCTAATTCATGTATACTAATACACTCACAGGCAAAATTAACCGACCACATTCTATTTCTTTCAATTTGCAAAAATCGCCAAACTTAGGCCAACTTTTATTAAAGGAATGTTAAAAACAATACTTAAAGAAAATGAAACAACAAAAATATTGGAAAGAAAATCTTTTATTGAAGGATGCTAACCAAAAATCGTTTTTTTTTAACTTCAATGAAAATTTTAAAATTTTGGTTTTGAAAATAATGGGGCAATTAAAGAAAAACTAACAATTAAAAGGGGGTGGTGCCACCTCTGGCTTGAAGTCGGTTTGTCAATTCATCCATGATGTCTTGAATATCCGATTGGCGGATATTGTGTAACTCCTCTACTGCAGCAGTTTTTAGCTCTCCTATAGTCTTAGGGACTGGTACTCTTGCTCGGACACGTCTTTTAAAGTAGTCCCAAATGTGCAAAACCAAATCTAGCTCTACGGTGCTGTGGGAGCAGTTGCGGAGCCGTAGCTGAACGAAAAGCCCTCAAATTACTTTCTACTGATCTTCTTCTAACGGTACGTTCACTGACACTGACATTTCTCATCTCAAAAAGACGCGTAGAGACGACTCAATTGGTAACATCGAAACGGTCATCTCGAGTCGAAGTGCATCAATGTCGGCCTTGACCTGACCTGCGGGTGTATAAGCCTGTCTCCCGAAATCGTTTGATGGCATCTCGTAGTTCAAGGTACACAGAGTGTGCGAGCGATGCCACGCTGGCTATACCCCGCATCGGCTAAAGCCACTGCCCTACATCAGTTGCATCGAGTGGTATTTTTTGCAATAACAATAAATGAGCACACACTATAATTTCTAATTAAATAATATTCGCCCACTATGATACAAAAAAACAGGATATTTTAACTTAGTAACACAACAGCAACAATGTAAAACCACGACTAAATCCCGAAAAACCTTGGGTGACACAAAACCAGGAAAGAAAATAAAGGTATAAGTGTTTTATTTATTTCTAGAGTACCCACTTAACAAAAAACAAAACAGTTGATAAGCCATAGTTGACGGAACCAACAGGGTGATGAATGATTCAGGTGGGCGCTTAATTGTCCCTGTGAGTGTATATTAAAGAGGAAAGATTTTATTGTATGTTTGTTTGCAACGAATAGGCTCCGAAATTACTGGACTATTTAAAAAAAACCTTCACCTACGGGAAGCTACATCATAAGCGGTTGACACAGGCTATATACAAAAAAAAAACAGATGAAAGTCGAAGTGAAAGTTTGCGTAAGGAAATTAAAACGTTACTATAGTAATCATCACTTACTATTCAATTTGCTATTGTAATTATATCCGTGTCATGAAACGAATTGAAATCCAAATTACACAAGAGTGCATAATCTTGCTAATATTTATCTTGCTAAACAGTTCCCTACGTATAACACCAGCAAAGCCGCTGGCGAAAAGCTAGTAGGAAAAAGGAAGAAATATATTTACTGAGGATCTATTGATATTCGTGCGATTAAAGCAATGTAGAGACAGACAATAAAAAGACTAAAAATAAACAAAATATTGTTTCAAAACTATAATTTAATGATCTAAGAAAGTTGGTCAAAAATAACTTAATTTTAAATGATTTTCAACAAAATATTTCTAAATAACCAAAAGACTACATAATATATACAATAGTATTGACTGTACTAAAACATGTTTTATGTAATTCTCTTGTTTGTAGTTGTTATTCCCTTTATAATAAAAACTACAAAACTACTTCTTTGTTTGTTTCTTCTAATATTTAAAGTATATTTTTACTACAGGTAAAAATTTGAGAAATACTTTATAGCTATAGATAAAGATTGAAACTTTACAGAATTGCTTTGCAAGTGATTAATTGAAAATTGTATTCTTTGTTTACGACGATTTGCTGTCTCTGTCTCCTTAACGAGCGCGTTGATTTCGTTTGGTGTTCTCTTTTACCTTAAGGTCCAGTCTTAAGTTAATTTAATGAATAATTCTTCATGAAATCATCAGAAAAAGATGAACGTTAATCAATTTCTGTTCAGCAATGCTATTGTGTAATAAAATCAGAGTCCAACAAAGCGCTGTAGCACCATAGAGGTTCTATCGCATGGAATCTTTGTAACCTTTTGAAGTCAGTTTTAATTAATTGAACCTCTAAGCTGTGATAGCATTAAGTTCAACATTGATTTCGGTGCTGATTTTTATAAATACCAAAGCAGTAGTCTAATCTATTGTATATTAGACGAAACAGTTTTTTTTTGACGTTAAAAATGTAATATAAATAGTTGCTTACCATTTTTAGCAATAATAAAATGTGCACAATCGTTAATAAAAACTACAAGACTAATTGATACTGGCCCCTTTCGCTTTTTTTAAACCCTAATACCATTGAAATCCTGTCGTTTAACAATGTAGGGATTACCAACATAATGACTCTTATTGCATTATAATAAGTGTTTTGCTAAACGTAAATAAAATTGTTGTTTATTACGGATCATGTCGTTGCGCACGCGTCGCATGCGAAGGGTTAAGACCCTTAACCGGGGCTTTACAATGCTGACATCGATTTGTTAGACCCTCTCGATTACTAAACAATTTGTCGTTGACATCGTTATTAAACATTTTGTCATTATGAATATTTAGTATGGCTTATTGTTTATATTTATATATAGCTTTTTTATATGTTTAGTTAAAGAAGGTTTTTATGGACTCTATCATTATAGTATCATTTTTTTTTAAACTAGATTTACTTTATTAATAACTTAATTCAAAGATATACCATTAATTTAAAATCTTGAATTTTCACAGAAACTTATGATTATCATTGGCTCCTTTATGAAGAAAATGATGTTACTTGGTTTTATATTTTCTGCTTTATTTCTTTTATTTACTATATTAATGAATATATATAATTCTATAAATACAAAAAAATAAAGCAAAAGATCACACAGTGCCTTAAATTTAAAACCTTAGTGGCCAAATTCATATTGTTGCAATTTGCTGTACAATACATTAATTATTCTTTGTGATAATAAAAAAGTGCCTGTATTTCTAAAAATGAATGCTAGAAACCCCAAATCAATGACAACGGTATCCTTTCCCATGGCAGGGAATAAAACGCGTGGGGCGATTTATATAGGCAGGGTTTGAGTCTACCGTGCCACTGTCAAACGAGATCGCTTTGTGCGCACACGGATAGCTCATCAGCAAGCCAGCCAGTTGTTTGCGTCGAAATATCGGATATGATTGCGTAAACAAAGATAATGAGCGAGTAGGTGGGGTCCGTGCGCTACGCCCCCTGGCGTTTTTTTTTTGTCGGCGACTGGGCGGCGCGAAGTGCACGCCTCGCAGCCCACGCGATCATGCTGTCTAGAGCCGACGGCACAACCGCGGACGACACGTAAACAAACAGTTTTTAATCGTAACAAATATGCGAAAACGAGTGCCAATCGGACTAAGCGTTCACGTTTTTCGGTGTGCGTGCGATTATTCCGGCACGCTTAACTGTTGACCTGATATTTTTATTATTCGTTTTTTAAGTTTTTTTTTCTTTTATTTGTGAACTTTGAAATGAGTCTGGATAGGAACTGAAAACTTTTTAGTGAGTGTAAACGTTGCAATATTAAAACAGTTTGGTTATATTTTTATTAAAAAGAAACTAAGTGAAAGCGGATAAGATGTGCCCGCGGAGAAAACGAATAGTGTTGCCAACATGAAAAAAAAACGAGTGTCCGCTGTTAAGAACAGAATGCTCAGGATATTCCCTGCGGCTATTGTTTACTTCTTGTTTCTTTTATTCAGTATGGCAAGGTGAGTTTTATACCTATATTTATTCTTTATAATTTATTAAAATTAATTTATATATATGTGCGGCAATTCGGTTTCATGAGCCGTAAAATGGAATGCCTTTTAAGAATTCTTAAACTGAGAAAATTAAATTACTTAGGTAATAGTATTTTGTAAGCAGTTTCGAAAATATTTGTCTTGATTGTCATCTAATGTACATAATAAGGCTTTAATAAGGCGTGAGTATAAAGGCGTGGTGAATGCAAAACAAAAACATCACAGCTCTAATCATGCAAAACGCCTAATGAATAATGACATCGCATCGCAATGGACGGTTAATGGTAATACATGTAAATTTAAAAGGTGACAATCATTAGCGGGGACCACCCAATAGAGCGGAGATTTACTGTGTATGGTAATGGGACGTGATATGCCACTGCACGTGGCTGCATAATCATAGGCTGTTTGCGAAAGATTGATGCGCCAAGGAATTAGATTTCTGGAAAAAACAAAGGAAATTTATTTTTTAATCTTTTATGCATACACTAAATAAGAGTATTAAGATAAGATTGTCACGAATTTAAACACGGATTAATACATTATACGGAGGTATTATATAATTAGTTTTCAATTAACAAGAAATACAATAATTTGGAATCCCCTCTTTTTACATTATTTCTAAATACATATAACCATTTTGGCATAATAACACTTTTCCATAACTATTTTGAGCATACAAAATCTGTTAACATAATTCTCTTTTAATGGCTAATTTAAATTTGATACATTTATCGTGGTACTAAATCTAATATCTCTTTTATTGATGCTATATTGTGAAAAAAATGAGGTTTGCTCATAAACTTAAACTGCGTCATTTGTTGTTTGCTAATATATAATGATAATAACGTATATATATATAATGATATAACGTATATTTGCATTATAATTAAAAAACAACCTAATCATTTCAAAATGAACTATTATTTATTTCTTACTAATTAGGTATTATATATTTTTTAAATCACAAAACTGAGATCAATATCGCTAATCAGAAAATTAAGGTTTTTATATCGGGTTAAAGATACCACCGATATTATTTTCTAATGTTTTTGTCTATTAATATTTATTTTGATATATCGTTTCCATTAGTTTTATTTCTATGTAAAACAGATACTCTTATTGCACCTCAAACTAATTTGAATAATATGAATCAAATGCAATGAATAATTATAGAGTTACACAAGAACTTATCAAAATGCTATAAATAAGCATAATTAATAAATAGTGAATTGCAGTTATTTAGGTAAATGATCGTATTATTTTAATGTATTAACTTAAAAGTATATTCTTTATGGTATGGACGTACAAGAAGTAGGTATGTATATTTAAATATTAAAAGCTCCATTAATATGTATCACGAGTTTTGGTACTTTACATTGCCCCGCCGCCACCCGGTGTTTCAGCATATAATAGATAATTATTATTATTTTCAAATTGCACGTAAAACCAAATTAAAAATAACCATGAATAAAATTCCTCAGTTTAAAATGGAGAAGATATTATTATGAAGTTAATTACATATTTCAAGTCTTAAAAATATTTGATTATTATTATAATGGAAGTTGAGAGAAACCTGATAAATAAGCTTACGGAAAAACCATATTGAAATTGTATAATATATATACTTGCTGTTTTCCCATGAATTCGCCCGCGTAAATTATAGCGGCTGACATACCGCACATAATCTAGGTTCCGGTAGTTGAATAATTAGTAGTAGAATTATAATTCACATCAGTGAAATAACTAAAAGAAGTAAAAATGGCAAAATAAAAACCTTAACATAATGCTGTCTAATAAAATATTAAATGAAAAAGGGATTATCTATGGGGCACAATTATTTTGAGAACTTAATTAGTATTACAATTATAATACGCGTAATAAATGACATGGTCGCACACTTTCTTATTTTAAGGACTTTTTTGTAAAACCCTAAAGATTTAAAAAACCAATTAAGTCCAACTATTATTTTAACATACGAAATGGAAACCGTCGCTAAAGATATGTAAAATCTTAATATATGCATCGCTGGTTGATTATCGGAACATTTAAACGCTGTCGATTACATTTACTCACAAATCAGTGTGTATCTCGTTTCACAGTAGATTACAAATTTAACAAATAATCACTAAATACGGATAGACATAGTTGGTACACGGAATTTCAATCAGCATCGCGCTACCATGAAAAATGGAGACTCAACTTTGAAAGATCGCCTGACATTTATAATCTTTAACGTGCGCAGAATAATGTTGAATTCAGATTGCAATTCATTAAATTTACGACCTTTTTCGTGTGAACATTAGAGGGAAGAAAAATATTTGCAGAATTGTCGGCTCGCATGGAGAGCCAACGCAAGTAGCTGTAATTTGTATTGAAATAACCTTTGAATGTGTATCGTAACATTTTAGCATTTCACGAGACCGGCTCTGGGGTCCGATTTATTATTTTTTACCAGGCCGCTGTTAAGGCACGAAATTATTGTTTTTATCTCATCGTGTGGAATTCTTATAGCAATTATTTAAGTTTTGCGTCGAGTTTTAATTGGTTCGACCGGGCTTAAGGACTCTTCAAGTGTTGTTAGTACATACATAGCCCGGGTTGCCAGGTTTTTACACTGTTGATAAAGAAAATGCATTAAAAATAGTTAACAAAGAGAGAATCTCTACATAGGTGAGAGCATAAAAAGAGATGAATTCCCAAAAAAAATTATAAATTTTTATAAGTTATTATAAGTCTATAAAATATAATAATGTTATAAGAAGAAAATATTTAATTGTTTGTTTGCATCGCATAGGCTCTGAAACGAGTGGACCTATTTTAAAAATTCTTTCACTTAACAAAGCTACTTTATTCGCGAGTGACATAGTCTGTAGTTTACGCAAGTGAAGTCGCGGAAAAATAGCTAGTATCGTTATTAAAATTACCTGACGCCCAAGTTGTTAAGATTTTTTAAAGATGAACAACTTCACGAGTATTTTTTTCTTAGAGTAAAATTAAATAATGTAGTGGTAACACTCTATAACTTATAATTGTCGCGGCAAAGGTTGTTAATGTTAAAGTATTTAACTGGTTAAGTAAAGGATTGGTATGCATATCCCACAGGGTATGATGATAACTCGGCGCGGAGCCGAGTGAGTTTTAGTAATCACTCCGTGAATGAATAGGTGCTCTGATAACTTAATTCTAATGGTGGAGATGGGTGGCGCAATGAAAAACTGGTAGAATTCTTCAGTCTGGATTTTATTTTCGAATATTATAACATTAAAATACTTACAACGAAATACTATGATACTCACTCTATGCCGTTCTCGATCAGAAAGAAAGATTGTCAACCAGCAAAACACGCACACGCTAATTCGAATACGAAAAAGTAATAATAATTTAAAATATTATCGGCCAGCGTTGACCATAAACCGTCCGAAGAGTAAACCTACCTATAGTAATGTGCACTGACGTCACAGTACCTACATAATCTCGTAGTGTATTAAGCGATAGAGACACGCTTAACGCATACTATAATCATCATTTCCAGCCTATTAATGACCCACGGGGTGGTTATAGGCCTTCCATATAGATAGAATCGAATCAAATCGATTAGGCAGAATGGACAATGAAAATCCACGCGGGGCCAATGCAGATTATGGGTGTTAAATACTGCAGATACAGCTGGTATCAACAGCGTAATGTGCCTTCCAAAGGTGCTCGAGATAGTAATTTTTTGGTCACCCATCCTATGTCTACCCTTGCGAAAGTTGTTTAACTCGCCAACCATGGTATCCACGTAAATTAAAATATATGTTGACCGTCTAATCAATGTTTTTTAGAGCTGAATTTAGAGCTGAATATTTACTTTAAGCCATGTGGAATAAATATAATAATAAGTATCGTGCTATCACTTATAATTAAAAAAAAACATTTAAAAATAAGTTATCTTCTCCGCAATGGAATTCAAAATATGTTTCCTAAGGTGTGATGTTTATTCCACTCTGTATGAACAGGGACAGTCGTTTCCTTATCTTTGATATTGTACTATACGAACTATTTAGTTGGTAAAACCTTCACGAATATGTCAATTTTGTCTATGACGGTTCCGTATTTTAAAAAATTAATGAAAACACGGGGAATCCTCCTAATCCTGATAATATTATAAATGTGAAAGTTTGTGAGTTAGTTACTTGTTACTAAACGGATTTTGATGTAATTTCGTATACGAATAATTCTAAGCTTGAATAAAAATTTAGGCTACTTTTGGTGTGATGTTGGTATTAATGTGGAAAAAATCCATATGGGAAACGCGGACAAAGCCACTGGCAGAAAGGTAGTATGGAATATTTAGATAAAGAAGACTTTATGCACTCGAGTTATCGAGTCAACTCGGCGCGTCAAGTTGATTCTCTTCACTTCGCTATTCTAATTTATTATTCTATGCCGCTTATTTTCTTGAATACCTATATAAATAATATGACAAAACTCATTCAATTTGTATTGTATTTATATTATTTATGTATTTGTTTTTAAATTACTAAGAAGCATCTCATTCGAGCGTTTGAATTTTTTTACTCGAGTCACTCAAAGTACGCGTATGACTCGAGGTTGTTAATTGGCTCGAGTGTCTCGAGTCACAAAATCCTACTCGAACACGCTTGAATTTGAGTATGTTAGTTTTTATACAGCACCCCTAGTGGCTAGTAATAGGATAAATTTTTATTACGAATCTTTAACTACGTCAATACTACAACATAAATAGTTTAAGCTAAAATGAAAAGTTTTTATAGAACGAACTAATTTTGATCTAAATTCAATCTTCATTTAATTTAATAAGAGATTAATGCATCAGACGTAAGTAATTTGTGGATTTTTTATCATTGATGGAAAATAATATTCTGAATAAAAATTGTGATTTAGGAATTAGTCCAAATTCATATTGTACACCTTCTAGGAGTAAATATTGCTCCCGTAGTACCTCATACTTTTAACCTTTGCTAATAATCTGTTATATAATATAAAATTTGACTAATACTAAGTGCAGTCTCAGCATAAATCGCTTACTGAATAGTACAGTGGCACAACTCAAAAACCATATTTCGAGAAACGCTCTCCGATATTTATAAATATGAAAAACATTTTTTTTAGCAAAACAGTTAAATCTTTTGTATTATATTATTACTGTTAAGTTTTTTATTTTTATCTTTAAATTATCTATGGGATTCCACCACAATGTTGTGGCGTTTTCTCGAAAGAATGGATTTTGAGTTATGCCACTGTAGTATTCAGTGAGCGAAATATACTCCAACTCTAAACCTTGTTTAGTAATAACACTGTATAAGTCTAACCAGTTCTAATAGACATTTTCAACATTATTTTTTCGGTAATTATTGATATATTTGAGTTGTATTCGCAAATTTCCATTTGTTAAAAGGGTGCTCATTGGAAGGTATTCATGGGTTCAAAACAGAAATGCAGGACGCTTGAATATTTTAATTGTTTAAAGTTAAGATAAAAACACTGTAACAAAGAGATTAAAAATTGTATAAATGAAATATAAAATACAGTAGTTCGTGTTACAAAGACACTTATTACACTACGTTTTTCGTAGATCTACGGGCTACATGGCCTTCCTATTCTCCCTGCAGTATAGCTATTTGATTAACTACATATATACGTTTTCACTAAACGACTTTACTAAAGCGACTCCTAATCGCCCAAATCTATGCCTTGGTTTAAGTTAGTGGAAATGGGTGTAAGTTCGATAATTTACTTTATTTTCTCTATCATTTATTTTTCTTCCGTTATCTGAGAATTACTCCTACCAGTTTACGTTCCATCACCTTTTGAGTAGCAATAATCGCTGACAATGACTTTTGTTGTCCCCCAAGTCTTAACTCTATAGGCAACGACTTTTAAAAGCATAGTCCATTTTCGCAAAGGTATTTCGAAAAGTATATACAAATACGTCACTTGATATGAAATAGAGTATTTGATGGTTCTTATCGATGGAAATTTAATGTGCAAGCTTTATTGTCTAGTAGTTCGGATACGTGTAGTAATTATTAAATTTCATGCTACACGAATGTAACAAAGAACGCTAAAACACAATACGAATGTCAAACAAAGTTTCTTTACTTAGAAGCGTTAGCTATCTGCGGTTCCCACGCCATGTGGACGCCGCTATGTCATTAGGGTACGCCCAAAGAATCACTCGTTGTAGTCTTAATGAAACGCATGCGCTACATAACGCAGTCATTATTTGCGGGATTTTATAAGCGGTAGCGTTTTAGATGTCAAAAAGTACAAAAGAAACTGTGAATATTTCCTATGTATGATTTTTAAAAGAATATTCTTTAAAGAAAATGCAAATCGATCAGAATGAAAGTGCCGAATTAGGCGGAATAATGTTTATTTCAACAAATAAGGTAGTATCAGTTGTCAGCTTATATATTATGTTACGGCATCTAATTGACCTTTCTTGCTGTAAGTCTTATAAGAATTCCTCTGTGATACCAATACTAGAATTCATCATTCATTTGCAAGGTTTTAAGAAAATTCGTATCATATATCATCGTACCTATGGGTCAGATAGATATATAGAGCATTTAATAATTGAATTAGTCTTACTAATGGTCATTTGGTACTTAAGTAAAATTTTTTAACTAACAGCAAATGTTATTTAAACTCTATACAGACTTCTTTCATAGCATATTTACACTGATCGGTGATATCTGTGTATAACACATCCAGAGGATTTCTATTCTTCATTTTCATTAGTCGCTCATTGCTTTATTGACCAATTAGACAGCGCACAGAGAACTCCGCGTGTTGTATCGACCAGTATAAATGAGCTATTAAAGTTTAATAAAATCTTTTTTGGCGCCGAGTAAAATAATTTTGATGGAAAAAATAATAATATTAATTATAATTAAAGACGAAAAATATCTATTACTATCAAAATATAACAGAAATGAAGTCATTAGTAAATAACTTTTTAAACAGCTTTTATTTAACTTGCAATAATTGTTTGTTCGGGTGGAATCTTTGAACTCGATTTTGAAGTCTTGAATCTTCAACCGATTGAACTGAAATTTTATATACACGTTTAGTTCGGATGACAATGCATTATAAGGTGTGTGATGTCATTCTAAATCACTTCTACAACATGAGTGTCAAATGAAGGGCTGTTAAGAGTAACTAGAAAAATTATGTATCGTCATTCTAAATCCAATATGACAGACCATACAGGGTGGCTAAATAGTTATTTTAAATACACTTCTATAATATGGGTATTAAATGAAAGTGCTTGTTGAAAGTAACTTGAAAAGGATTATGACGTTATTCTAAATCCAATATGGTGGAATATCTAAGATGGCAGAATAGTTATTATTTATGCGCTTTTGCAATATAGGTATCAAATGAAAGGGCTTGCCGAGAATAATTATAAAAATAATTTGACATAACTCTTAATACAATATGGGGAGCTATTGAATTTTTAAGCTTTAAAAAATTAACGAAATTAACCGGCATACGATCTTGCAAAAATGCGTTGAATGAGATAAACAGACAAAGCAACCTAGCCAGCGATAATTAAAATATACAATTAAATTAAAAGCCAAAAAAAACTAAAAACAAAAAGCTTTTATTTATTTAAATGCTCTAAAAAGAAGAAAATATATTTCCTCTTCAATTATAACTACCAACTTATAACCTCATTATACACAATTTATATTTAACGCAACCACTTTTTATAATCATATAAATTGTATATAGTTAGGTTATAAGTTGATAATTAAAATTTAAAAAGAAAATTTAACTTTACTCATTTTAGAGCGTTGAAATAATAGCATTAATGTACTACTCATAGAGCTTAAATGTATTATACGTTCTCTAAATAATATTGTAAAAAATGTAACCATTGAGACACGACACAATAGAATCATTTTATGGTGTGGGAAACATTAACTATATCTGTCTTCATCAGAAAAAGCTAAGATGCTTCTGACAGATGCCAAGTCTACGTGACGCGACATACTCACACCTTAATAGATTAAATCTACTTGGCACTTCTGTATCTGTGGCATTACTATGTACATTTACACTTATATTGTGAGTTTAAAAAGGTTCAAAAAGTTAAAACAAACACCAGTCGTCCCCAGCCAATTAATATCCCCTCTGCTGGGCCTTCGCTGTAGATAGAGTTTGAGTCCCGTCTCAAAATGCCCGGGACAAAGTGGATTTTTAAGCATTTTTCATTAAGAATATTTTTTTGTATAGCATTGTGAATGCAAAATTTAACAAACATAATGGATATAATTAAATCGAATCACGTAGGAACAATACCACTTCCAGAGTGAATAGTGTTCCCGAGCACGGAGGTACTCAATATAGTATTTTGGTTACCCATCCTTTGATTGGGCCTTGCGAAATTTGCTTAACTTAGCATAGCAAATCGAACCCGCTGAATGAGTACAGCAGGACAATTCTGCAAAATTTTGCCTAATAATGACATCTTAATATAACCTCAACTACTTCAATTTTGTCCTGATGTCCAATATTATTATATGTCACCATTTATATGTAAGATGGACATTATACTAATAATATGGGACTTAAGGTAGATACTACATTGATAAAATGCAAGCCGTTAAGATTCTACAGAGATGCTACTATTACGTAAACATTAGCTGAATTGTCCTGCATCGATATCATCGCATAGAGCTTTAATGAAATAAAACTTTTATTAGCTTTTGAAGTAGGTTTTATTTGATTGAACGTCTATGCTGAATAGCACTGTAAAATTCAAATGTATCACTCCCAACAGTAGGAAAATCTTGCTGAAATTAAATAGATTTCATAAAAGACAAGATTTTTATTCAAGGCGGATTGTTGTCTTACTTTTATTAGACAAGTTATTTTATCAAAGCATTTCAGAAATATTCATAAACGAGAATTCCTCGCGTCAGCAGCCAGACGAAGCTCCTCCACATTAATTAATTAAAAACCTTCCACGGTTTATTAGCTCCGTAAAATACTAGGAATTTTTCAACAACAGTAGCTACAGAGCTTAAATACAAATTGTTTTCTACAACCATGTTGGCGTGGTTCGATACCATCAGTTTTATAGAATTAATTAATTATGAAGTATTTAATTATACGAACATTATGCCCAATTAGTGACAATATTTTGAACACACACAGCACTGAATGTTGACAATCAACTAAATATATATGCATCGTTATCGATGTCTATGGATTTTTCTATTGGATACCATAGATTATTGAGTTTTAAAGCTTATTTATAGTATCATTCATTATTTTACATTAATGAATACATTTTTTAGAATTCTTCCCAGTTCGTTTTATGAAGTTATTTGAATATGACAATATTTTATTGCTTGTTATTATTTAAAATTAACATGGATGTAATGGAAGGTCGCGTTTATTCTAACTGCCATTAGATAGTGCTCGAATTAGATGTTTTTAGAGTTCCGTAACAAAAAAGATAAATCGGAACTCTAAGTTCACTCATGCGATTGTCTGTTCTTCCGTTTGTCACAGCCGGTTTTCTGCGAAACTACTGGACTGATTGAATTAAATATGTAAAACATGCATGATACTTTTACCGTTCCCTTATAAGAAGGGCATTTTTTTAATAAATGCACAAATATTTCCCTCCTATTCTATGTCATTATTTATTTATACATTATTTTTCTTGATCTCCTTTATCTGGGTTTCCCATTTATTGGGTTTAGTTCCGTTTTATCTTAATTGTATAATATAGTAAAAATTAAACTCGTGTTTCAGTTCTCGCGGCGGCACGCTACCAAATCATCTTAAATTGAGTTCAGCATTGACATGCCGGCTAGTGGGCGGTCTCACCAGGGAACAGAGAGCCGTGTGCCAAGAAACGCCTGATACAGTCTCTATAGCCTTCGAGGGTCTACAGCTGGCGGTTAAGGAATGCCAACACCAGTTCCGATGGCACAGGTGGAACTGTTCCAATTTGATCACGAAAAGTTCTAATCCTCACACGAGTGGAATAATGAAAAGAGGTAATTCATATTTAAAAATTTTATAAGTGCTTATAAATGTCTTATCCGATGCTGGCTCTGTAATCTTAACGGGAGCAGTCAGTTTCCATCCTCATCTGGTTAACCCATAATTTGGTTAGATACCTATATATATTTATATAATTATGTATTTATGTACGTATATATTTATTTAAATATGTATTTGTTTATGTATATTCATTTATGTTTATTTATGTATAGGATATTATGACGTAATAAATATTTGTCTAATACATAAATAATAGATAGTTTTATTGATAACATATAAGAAAGAGACAACCTATTATAGTTCTAACCCTAGAGTGAACAATCTCTTCCAAACAACTTTTGAGTCACTGAAAATTTGGAGAGTAAGAGTGAAGTTAACATGCCAAGAGTAGACATGAGTTAATTTTACATTTACAGTTCGTTGTCTGTCCTACTCATACTTAAGTATTTTAAAGATCTTAGAAGGAACAGAACACGAAAAAGTTTACGACATATCGTAAATTGCTTTTAAGAATTACGCCCCTTGAAACTAAACCTGTAACAACTAAACATAGAAAATTCTACTTAACCGCAATTACCCGTAAAATTAAATTAAATTATTTCAAATGGCTAAGTTGAAATCTAAACGTGTATTTATAAAATTATCTCGACAAAAAACTAACCTGTAATATCCGAAAATATTCCATTTTATTCTTGTTTGCTTCAAAACGAAAGTAACTGAAACTCAAATAAAAAAGGTACTTAAAGCCTCTCCTTGATTTAAAATTTAGGGAAATTTTCTTTAAGTGATCAGTACATCTTCGTTTCTCGGTTGACAGAACAATATAGACTAAATGTCGCTGATGTAAACTCCATTGTAACTCCAAGTAGACAGAGAAATCTCTTAAAGTATCACACAAAACACAAGAAAAATGTTAAATGTTCTGTATGGCTGTTTATTGTGTGTTTTTTTATTATTAATTTTGTATTCACAATGCTATATATTGAATAGGTAAATGGCACAGTGGTTAGCGTGTTCGGCCTGCGATGTTAAGCTAATATTGCACTCATAGATCGGGTGACAAAACCTCTAGCTTCTCTTTAATTTATATACTAAAGCTTCTAAGTATCATTCCAACACCTACATAAGGTATATTGGTGAGTTTGTATTTACATAAAAGTAAAATTATTATAACATATACGAGTATAAGTACCTAATATGTGATTTTAAATAGTCTAAATAATATCGACGTTGTTAATATGAATAACAAAAGAAAAACGTTATCGCTCAAGTCGTTTAAGCAGTATCTAAAGAAAAACAACTTACAAATTAACTTACCTACCTACGTTTATAATTTACCAAAAATTTTATGTCCCAAATAACCTTCAATCAATTCCGTATCGTTCTATCACCATTTAAAGTAGCATTAAAAATAAATAAAGACAGTTATCAACAAATCCACAGCAGTTATGCACTAAGAACGAATAAAACAGTTGAAAACGTAGGTGGCGAAGTCCATAATCGCAACAGAAAACCAGTCTCACTAATACCCAAAGAACATAATTATTAAAATGAACGCAACAAACCCTTCAAACCAATCGCGATCGGCCATTACAATCTGAATTTATTACGACGAAAAATTATCCACGCGCATTAAGGCGAGCAGGACGGATGCGTTATTCCTAATGTATGTATTTACAGAATGTCATACGCCTTTATTCCTGTATCTCCGGGTGTGAAAAGGCTTTGTCCATATCATTTTTTTCCACAATCATCGCACACGTCGACGTGGAAATTTACGAGCATGGAAGATGGGAGACAACAAATAATAAGGTTCGTGGTGGCCAGGTGGCCCCTCCCGCGCCCCTGATTTCACGCTACGTGTGGGTCCTTCACCCCCCCCCCCCTCCCCTCACCACCTCTATACCCCGCGAGCGCCCTCCAATTAATATCTTAACTGAAATTGCCTTGCCCTCAAGTTCCATCGGAGTTACTCGATTTTCTACACGACCTTTTTATAGCCGAACACATTTCAATAACGTTTTGAAATCTATAATAAAAATCATGAGACACGCGGGTCGGTGCTTCAAAATAAACTGTAGTTACCGCTCAATGTAATAGAGATATAAAAGTTAACTGTCGATCGAAATGTATAAGAAGATCACCGGTTACTACTACTCGTACAAATTGACATGACACAAAAAGGATTACTCTATTTCTCCGAAAACGAAATTTTGTCTATTTTCGAAAAACGCATTTTTCGATTATGTATGATGCAACGGAGGAAGAACCTGTCACTGTCTCTGTGCACAGATAATCTTCATGGATATGATTTCAACTAAATTAGAAAAACGATTTGAAATTCTGTCGAATTTGCGTTCTAGGACAAATATAAAGAGCCTTAAAATGTCACGTTAATTGGTACGAGCTATAACTACAGTCACAGGCAACGAATCGAACGTGGAGGTTATATTATTAGCATTGGTAATACTCCGTAACGACACCTTCCGGCTCTTCAGGACACGACTCCGTTTAAATTGAAAAATTGTAAAAAAACAGCGTAACTAAACACTTAAACATCTTTCTTAACTTGCCCATTGTTGGGGTCCCGAATTGAAACGTCGACGGGAGAATGAAAAGAAAAAACACCTAAGAACAAATCGAGAGGCTTTTAAATAGGATAATAGCGATCGATGATCGTCGAAGAAAGATAATAATGATACCGGACCGACAGATTTTTTGTAAGAATGGATGTATCGAAGAATGAACGCTGTGGACGGATGGCATTCTGGATACATCACGGAATTTGTTCCGCTTCCCTGAGATCCTCCACACGTAGTTAGCGTTCTTGTTGCACGTGACGGTATAACAATCGGTATGTAGTGTCAAAGATTTAATGACTTTTGTTGAGCTAATGACACTATTGTGAGAAGAAATTTTGAGTTCAAACAGTTGACGATGTTAAGATTAGGTGGTCAGAGGCGTGCGGCGTCGGCTAGGTCACGTGAGGGAATGAAGCGCGCGTGCAGGGTGGCGGCGTACACACCTCGATACGAATCTGAAACGCGTCCGCACGTGACATGAATCCATGTGCCGAACAAAGTATCATAAAAAAGTGACATTTATTAGCGGTTTTATATCAACGACGTGCTTCAGGTGACGAAGTGCCGGCTTCAATGTGCTTATGACACTGCAAAAACGAGATTCGTTGTTATAACCTGCTGTTTATCTGTCGAAGGGGCGTGGGAACGTCAAAAGTCGACGATGAGACATCTTCATTCGTAACTTGCGAATACAGTTTGGGGTACTCACGTGAAAATTAAAAACGTGTCATAACGTTTTGTTGGAGTGACAATTTAATGGGCCTTTCTATCCATAGTTCACCTAAAATAACAGTGACTGAGAGGATTAAATCGAGAGGGTTGAAAAAAAAATTAAACGTGTCGAAATTCTCAATGCGGTGCTTCGGCCTAATGGGCGAGATAACATCTCACTTGGTGCGTTACCGAATCGTGCTCCCTCAGATGCCTCAAAACTGTGAGAAAAAACACAAAAGATATGCCATAAAAAACATGAATTTGTCCAGTTCAGTCCAGACGTGACATCGAGTGAGGTTTTTGTGCCCCTTTGTTCCCGGATTATGAGGCGGCGTTTAAGGGTTAATTAACTCGAGTAGTATCAGTGATGTTGCGGAATTTAGAACACTAATGGAAATACATCTTACTCTCGAATTATAAAAAATATCAGTCAAAAATGAAAATAATCAGTCGTATAAAAAATATACAACTTTTTGGTCGTTTTGTGTTTAAATTTTATTGGATCGATTATGATAATTATATAACCGTGACGATCCCTCCACATTTTGGCAAGATTATAACTTAAATATAGCATGTCATATTTTTCTAAAATTTTCAACAATCGCCATACTTCCAACAGTTCACAGAAAACTAAAATTAATTATATACCAAAACTATCAATAATTGCTCAGCCTTCAATAAAAACCGCTTGTAAATCTGTTCAGTGGTTTTTCCATTAGTCGCGTATACACATACAAAACTGATACAGGCACTGAATTTCAAAGAGAATGTTAACACTATATTAGTGAATTTATATGACTGTATCAGGGGCGTAGCTACCGCCGTATTTTTATGTCAGTTGTACTGGAGCCCCTAAAGTGAGTAAACAAATTATTAATAAAACTTCCCCATTTTTTGTCAAAAATGAAAATAGACCAATTTCTTTTTTAGATTACCTAAGAACTTCAATTGGAAATGAACACCTGTCAGACCCTTTCACTATTGTCCATAGAGGCAGAAACTTTGAAAAAACTAAAGTCATCATCAGCTATAAATCATTTAATAAATCATTTTGCAGAAATAAAGCAAGGAGACTGTGACTGTAAAAATTTTGGAAAAAGTAAAATATAGATAATTATGATTAAGTATTTGTTTTAATTCAGCAAACATTTTTTATTTCTTTTGTGAGAAATTCATAAGGGCCCTCGAACAAATTCTTATATGGGGCCCCGCCAAGTCAAGTTACGCCACTGAACTGTATCCTATTAAAATAAACAGACATGCCTTCAAATATCATTAGTGATGATTATTTTTTCTCTCCATTCGATTTTCGAAAACCAATTATACAAAAAAGAGATTATAATTAATTGAAGTAAATCCTCTTTCATTATAATTACTGGTGCACCTCATCCGATCAGCATTAAAGAGGGCTCGGAGCGTTTGTCGCGGCTGACGTCACTAAGTTTTATCGCCCGCCGCAGTAATTAGCGATTCGCAACACAAGGCCCGAGTCGAAAACCGGACGAATCTCGACATCAGACCGAATTCCTTAGCGTTCCTGTTTACCTCATCATTCAACGCAGATTTCATGAGGTAAAAAAAAATAAACCTAGATGAACTTATAAGTATTATAACTCAAAATAAAAAATAAATAAAAGTGATATTTTCTTCAAGAAACATTGAACTCGGGCTGAGGTTTTCTGTAGTTTATTTAAATAATAACCGCTCTTATTATTAAATGATAATGGTTCTGTTGTTTATTATTAAATTATTTCATTATTTTAAGTGATACTTATATGGGTATTATATATTAATATTTTGTATAGGTATCACTAAGATATTAAAATCTAGTTTGATACATATTGGTTCACAGTTCAAGAAGAAATCGGTGAACATACTTACTTGCACAAAAAATATACATAACAGCTAAGCATATAAATTTCTTTTTCCAGATTTTGAATGAATGCAAAGTACGCTCTATCTTTTGTTGTTTTGCTGGTATAAACATCTCATCAAAATATTTCGGTGATATCTAAAAGCATATTTTATTATTAGTAGCTCGGTGGCATAAAGGATAAGCGCCGCGGCCCGCGATCGTTGTTGTTAAGCAACTTTCGCAAGGGTCGGTCACGGGATGGGTGACCAAAAATTATTATTCGAGCTACTTCGTGCTTCGGAAGGCACGTTAAGTCGTTGGTCCCGGCTGCATTTGCAGTCGTTAATGCCCTCCAATCCACATTGAGCTAGCGTGGAGGATCATGGCCCATCCTCCTTAACCATCCATAAGGAAGGCCTGAGCCCCTGCAGTGGGGACGTAAAAGGGTTGGTAATGATAATGATAATGATGATGGTATTTTATTTATTCGATGCCTTAACCATTAAGCTGTCGAATAAAAATGGAATTTTGATAATAGATTCATAATTGGCGGAGTAATCGCGTAACAAACACACAAAAAAACATACTGCGAATTGAAAACCGCCTCCTTTTTTGCAGTCGGTCAAAAATAGGTACGTTCTGTATTCTGATAAATAACTCATTGGAACCTCTTAAAAATCATTACGGTAATAATATGAATATATACGTTACATTTGCACTAATTGGCAGTTTAAAAAAAAGAATCGTCGCGCACTCACTCATTTTGGCGCCGGATTTATGAGCTATAGAGTATCGATGTAGAATGTAAAGAAAATCGATTTTAAAATACGCAACGTAGATATTGTATCGTAAATCGCAAATGGACATGCGCGTGAGCACAGCGCGCATCAAAAACAATGTAACAACTCGGAAAAAGTGAGACCACCGCTGAGAATAAACGCACTGAAAATCTTATGCACATCCGATTAAAATACGTACACGTTCACGCATACATTTATAAATGATGAGCCCGCTGATGTAATAAAAACTTTTTAAATGATAATTGAAATTTGTATTTACCTTTAGTTTTTTTTTTTTAATGTAAAGGCGCCTGGTTGCCATAAACGGTGGTAGGATGTAACTTCGGTTTGTGTAACTATGATTTCATTTACGTATTTCGAATGTTTATTCTCCATATACTGCGTTCGTTGCTACAGAAAAAAATAAAAAAAAAAATGTTTGGCATGTTAAGAATATTAGAAAAATTACTTGTTCGGTACCTTAAAACTTGAGATACAAACTCAAGTAAAATACTAAATAGAGACAAAAATTTAACCATTAAGAGAAAAATGGTAAAACAGTGTCAATAATTAAAAAAAAAAAACTGAAATGCGATTTTTAATTTGACCTGCATTAGGCACGTTTCTAAATAAGCATTGATCACTACATATTAAAACTCAAAATCCCTCTTCATCGTGTACTGATTTTATTTTATTCGCTATGGATAGTTTTAAGAATATTATTGAAAAAAAATATGGAAATTATTATATAAAAATTATATTTTAGCTACGCTAGGACATGTTTTTAAAAGTCTATCGCTTATATTTTTATGTAACTGTTTTTCCAGCGCAATTTTAAAATGGAATCTTTGCGCTAAATCAAAAATATTTCACACATTCAAAATTGTTTAGTACCTACATATATAATTGTACTCAGTATTGATATTAAAAGAATCTAAATAACTGATATACAAGCGTATTTCAATATTTTCCAGCGCAACTTTTGAATTATTTTATATAGAGCAAAGTTAATAAGTCGTGTATTCACAATAAGATCTTTAATACGTTCAAGTGTAATTTGTTTTTCTTTTCTATTTCTTTTTTTTTAATTAGATAATTCCAAATTAAGTAACTAAAGTACTTGCATTATGAACATTTGAAACAACTAATCACGACATCTACTCCCGAGACAATAAAGATAAGTTAATGTTTTAATATTAACCCCACCGGGAATTGAACCGAGGACCTCAGATATGGCAGCACCTTGAAATCGGCATGAGAGTCACCCGGCTACTGGAATAGTCATTTGAACTACCAGTTACACGCAAGATTTGAATGTCGTGACTCAAAAATGTATTCAGTACAAGTGTACTGAATACATTTTTGAGCTACGACTTTTCGTCAACTCAATTATTATAATCAAGTGATTATAATAATTGAGTTGACGAAAGGTCAAGAAACTCTTAAATGATTTAACATCTTCGTTCGTAGCTCTAGAACTTAACTCGCAATGAGATTGTAAACTTCACTTCATGTATTATTAAAACAAACAAAGCAAAAAACAAACGAGCCCGCAAAAAAATAAGCAAGGCAAGTGTAAGGGAAGAATTTAAAATCTGTCACCAACACAAAATTCGAAGCATTACATTGGAAAAAATCGAAAACGAATTATTGGAATTCATTAAAATTAATGAAGGAATTGGAACAAGGTACACGGTCATACGAAAGTGGGCTCAAAATGAAAGGGGAAATGGTCACTCGCATTTGTTTTAAATGCCGACAAGCCATTTGGTTGATTGCAAATTATACACATTACAATTAAAGCTATCGATGTGGAATTTTTAAACGATGCCGTTATTCATTTTTACCAACTTGCTTAAGCAGACTTCAATTTAACAAGAAATTTATCAACTGTATTTCTTTTTGTGCAAATCCAGCCTTATAATTAAGGAATTAATGCCACGGCTTCATTTAATGCAATATTTATTAATGTACACAAAATATATTTGAAAACCATAATTATGTAGTTTTCAAAAATATCTGTATCTTAATTAAAAAGAAGTTAATTTGCTACAGGCGGTAAAACTGATCAGAAATTTGAATTATTTTAAATATTCAAATATTCCCTATTCGCTGTAGATATACCTACGTTAA